CTCCTCCTCTACCTTCCTCCTCCTCCTCTTCCTTCCTCTTCTTCCTTCCCCTTCCTCCACCTCTTTCTTCTTCCTCCTCCTCCTCTACCTTCCTCCTCCTCCTCTTCCTTCCTCTTCTTCCTTTCTCCTTCCTCCACCTCTTTCTTGTTCCTCCTCCTCCTCTACCTTCCTCCTCCTCCTCTTCCTTCCTCTTCTTCCTTTCTCCTCCCCTTCCTCCACCTCTTTCTTCCTCCTCCTCCTCGTCCTCCTCCCGTTCCTCCTTCTCTTCCTCTTCCCAAACTCCATTCCCTTCTAGCACTGATGATGTTACCTAGTTGGGTCATGAAACGTCTGTAAGAAAACAAGCTCAGAGAGCGCCAAGGACTCTTTGGTCTCCCTCCTCCACACCCCTTCCTCTTCCTTCATCCTCCTCTCTTCCTTCCTCTTCTTCCTTTCTCCTCCCCCTTCCTCCACCTCTACGTTCCTCCTCCTCCTCCTCCCGTTCCTCCTTCTCCTTCTCTTCCCGAAATCCATTCCCTTCTAGCACTGATGATGCTACCTATTTGGGTCATGAAACATCTGCAAGGAAACCATCAAGCTCAGAGAGCACCCAGGAGCCCTCCCTTAATTCGGGTCCTTCCAATCCCGACTCCAGAGGGAAAGTTAAACAGGGAGGGGTGAGGCTGCATAGTCCGTGGCCAGGTTCTCTTCCCCACTCTGCTTTTAGTTCTTTCCATGAGCCAGTCCAGTTTGCAAACGTGGACTGACACAGAATGAAGCAGACATCAGAAGGACTTGGCAGGAGCCCTTGGGTCAGGGGCTGCAGCTGTCCTGCCCCGCTTATCTCTCAACTCCTAGCAAAACCCCCGAAGATTCTGGAGGATCCCACTTACGCAAAGACCGGCCTGACGGCGTTGCTCATGTTCCCGTAGGTTGCACGGGCCAGCAGTTCTCGGAAGCAGTTCTCGGCCAAGACAGCAGGATTCTCCTCTTTCTCGCCCGATGGAGAAGCCGGTGGTCCAATTCGACTGGGAGGAAAAGAGATGCGGCTGGGAGAGGAATGCCAAGCTTGGCAGAGATGCTGAGGGCTACCAGCACTCCCGAAGGAAACATCTGGCTTCCTTGAGCCTCTTTCCTTCTTGGCTGCTCTGTGCTCACAGCTGCTGCCCCTTTGGAAACCTCAACACTGCTCAACATTGGTCAACATAGGTCAACCGAGGTTAGCACTGCTCAACAGTGGTCACCATTGGTCAACAAAGATTAAACAAAATCAACATCGGTCAATGAAAGGCAACAGAGGTCAACCAAGGTCAATAGTGATCAACCAAGATCAACAGTGGTGGACATTGGTCAGTTGAGATGAAGAGAGTTCAACAGTGGTCAACATTAGTCAATGGTGGGCAACTGAGGTCAACAGTGGTCAAATATTGGTCAACTGAGGTCAACCAAAATCAACAGTGGTCATCATTGGTCCACAAAGTCAACCAAACTATAACTATAAATTATAGCTATCTCGCAAAGTATGAATGAATAAAATCATAGTCAAATGATTGTTTAATAGTGATATTAGGGTATATAAATTTTGATTGATAATACGAGTTATTATGTAATGTAACTGTAATTGAGACTACGAAATGGATGCACAAAAAATTGGTAAACCAACCGACACACTGTTTGTATATTTATGAAAGAAGGCTGGATATTTTTATGTTTTGTTTGTTTTGTTTGTCTTTAAAAACTAATAAAATTGTTTAAAAAAAAAAGTCAACCAAACTCAATACTAGTCAATGAAGGTCAGCCAAGGTCAAAAGTGATCCAAAGTGGTCAACCAAGGTCAACAGTGGCCAATTGAGATGAAAAGAGTTTGACAGTGGTTAATGTTAGTCAACTGAGGTCAACAGTGGTCTGTACTGGTCAACAGTGGTCAACCCGAGCTCAACAGTGGTCAACAGAACTCATGATTAATCAACATTGGTCAACTGAGGTCAACCAAGGTCATGGGGAAGCTCAAAGGGGGAAGAAGACACAGCCTTCCTCAAGGCAGACATACCCCTCAAGGTCTTCCGTCTTCTGCATGTTGAAAAGCAGGGAGGGGACGATCTTGTCCATGTGTTGAGGCTCCCAGATGGTGGCCCGGAGCTCATCGTTCACAGTCTTCCTCACCACTCCCTGGATGCCCCTGATGCCGGCGATCCGGATCCTTGCGGGAAGAGGCAGACATGTTAGGCAACTCAAGGGAACGGGGGAATGGGTGACCAATTGCCCTGCCAGCCCCATTTCCAAATCAAATCCTATGCAGGCAGACGGGGAGGGGGGTCTGGTGAAGTGATATGGGGGGGGGGGGAGAGGACGGACAGAAAACATGCCAAGAGAAGTCAGCACATTTGCTGCTCCTTGACTTACGTGTAGCAATTAAGTTACTAGCCCTCTTTCTTTTTATTGCTCAAGCTGCCGCTTACAGAAACCAAAAAAAGAGGATTGGAAGGGACTTTGGAGGTCTTCTAGTCCAACAACCGCCTTCTCAAGCAGGAGACCCCTGTACCATTCCAGACAAATGGCTGTCCAGTCTTTACTTAAAGACCTGTGGTGGTGCTGCGACGACCCAGAGCGTAACACAAACGTAACAAAATCCAACACGTAAATAAATGTCCTTCAATGCCTCCAACTTGGCCCCAATATTCAATAATTCTCAGTGGGAGATAAAACTTATTCAAAAATAGTCTTCAAAAGAGAGCAATACAGTCCGAACTTAATGAGCAGATAGAGGTGAAATAAAAAATCAAAACAAACCACAATGAAGGAATTTCCACAATGGAGCAGGATAAATATTTATCCAATTCACAAGGCAGAGTCTGTTGGAAGGACGCCAACCAAGATAACTTCAGACCAAAATTAAACACGCTTTGTTTCCAGCGTTTGCCAGTACGCAGGTCCAAACTCCTATTCCGTTGTCACACCTGCAGCCCATGAAGAGGATCAAGGCCCTCTCCTCCCGAGGAGACTACAACTCTCCCTTATCCTCTCCTCCCTGCGTGCCCTAGGATGGAGAGGGGATGGGCCTGGGTCCTCCTCTGACTGCTCAGCCGGTCTCTGCCCTTCCCCAGCCTCTGAGTTCGAATCCCTCAATCCCGAGTGACTCAAGGTTGACTTGGCCTTTTGTCCTTCCAAGGTCCGTACAAGGAGGAGCCAGATTGTTGGAGGCCAGAGGTTTGACTCTGCAAACCTCTTAAGAACTAAGGAGAAACTTCCTAAGAGTGAGGACAATTAACCAGTGGAACAGGAGTTGCCTTCAGAAGTTCTGGCTGCTCCATCCCTGGAGGCTTTTAAGAAGAGACGGGACGTTTGTCTGAAATGGTATATAGTCTCCTGCCTGGGCAGGGGGCTGGACTAGAAGACCTCCAAGGTCCCTTCCAACTCTGTTATTTTATTCTATTCTGTTTTATTCTGTTCTTCTATTCTATTCTTTTATTCTGATCTGTTCTGTATAGCAGGTGGATATGCATAAATATATATACCATATTGTGTGTGCGTGCATGTGCGTGTGTGCGTGCAGGGAAAAAAGCGATCCTTTTTATCTAAAAAGGGATAAAACCGTGTTTGGCTGAGATTCAGTGGAGAGAGATTCTTGTTTCTCTAACTTAAGAAACAATCGGAACAACTCACAACTCATTCACAACCACGCTGTCAGGATTCCAGCAGTCGCCCTAATGAAGTCATGATCCTCGAGCCCAACTTCAAAAAACTTCCAAGGATTCATTAGAGGCGACATGCTGGCCCTGCCCTGGATGAAGCCAACTCTGGCCTATGTCATTTACAGCCCCCTGGGACCCTGTTCCCCCCCCCCCCCCCCCGGGTGTGTCATAAATCAGATTCTCCAACTAAGCCCATTCACGGGCTGGGTGTCATCCATCACGTTCTCCAATTAAATATATTTAGTGGGCAAAAGCTCCGGTAGTTTAGTTACAGTCTTTTAAAGATAAAGAGTTGGAATGTACTTCCGCTTTCCAACTGCTCCTTTGCTCTTCCAGATTTCCTTCCTCCTCCTCCCGCATTTTTTTATGGCAACTACTAAAACAGGCCTAGGAATGTTTTAGGAGTAGTTGACACACGCACGCATGCACGCAACTTACTCGTTCCGTATTTCCGGATCGTCGTGGCAGGAGTGGCACATGGCACTGAAGCGGGAGACGAAGAAGTCGTAGCGGCGGTGATAGGACGGCGTGTCCTCCTCAATGTTTGCAAACTTGACAAACTGCAAGGAAGGAGGAAAAGACGAGGCCGGCCGCCGGGTTAGGATCAGAGCAACGACAAGGCTGGTTTGGACTTGAAGTGACGGTTTGTGTCGCTCATGTTTTGGACTGAATTTCCTCCACTTAAAGGCTGTCCCTGGGAGAGTTTTTTTTCTCCAGCCAGAAGGTAGCTTGGACAACGGGGGCCAAGTTGGAGGCGTTAAAGGGACTTTCCTTGCTTACCTGACTGGGTTGCCTTTGTGCCACGCCCCTTTGGGTCGTCACAGGCAACGTTTTAAGACTTGTGGACTCCAACTCCCAGAGTTCCTCAGGCAGCTCTGCCAAAGTTGCCAAGCTTGGAGGGTCGGAGGAACTCTGGGAGTTGAAGTCCACAAGTCTTAAAAGGTGCCACGGTTGGGGACCCCGGTACTTGGGGAGGGGGCGGGATTTGGGAAAGAAAAGCTGCTGGCTGCATGGTCCCACTTTTCCCCTGTTTCTCCCCGTTCCTCCACTGCTCCCGCCGGCCGGATCGAAGCCCCGAGGCCCAAAGCGGAGCGGTCACTTACCGAGTTGGTCCCCAGGACTTGCAGCTGGGGGTCTCCGGACTCCAGCAGTTTGGCCACCATGTGCAGGAAGCTCTCCACGAAGGGCTTGATGCTCTGCGAGTGGCAGGCCATGAGCAGCTGGTCCAGAGCCTCCATGGCAATGAAGACGTAGCTGGGCAGCAGGAGGAGGAAGAGGAGGAGGAGGAGGAGGAGGAGTGAGAAAGAGACGCTCTGGACCCATCTTGCAGCCTGGCCAGCAAGGGCCTCGTCCACCGGGCCTGCCTGGGGCTGGCTTTGTGCCCAAAGGGCAGGCTCCGTTTCCTCCTTGGACAAAAGGGGTCCCAAAAGAGAGAGAGAAGAAAGGAGATTCCCCACCCCCACCCCCTCAAAAGACGACGGGGAAAGCCGTAAGGTTTTCGACTCGGGCAGGGGGCTGGACTGGAAGACCTCCAAGGGTCCCTTCCATCCCTATGTTTGTATGACTCTGTGACCTTGGGGTTGGACTAGAAGATCTCCAAGGTCCCTTCCA